AGACGGTAGGGACCAAACAGTTTCCATCCGTCAACTCGCACCCGCAGGTGGCGATAGAGGGTCAGAAAATGTTCAGCTCGAGTTTCAAATGTTATCGGATGATAACAACAGTGAAGAAAATGCTGGAATATTACCAGAGATTCGAAACAGACCAAAAACGAGCATATCAGAAAATGCTCAGAATCCTCCGATGCAACAGCAACGCACTCGTCCCCACAATTTACGTAGCCGCGAAGTCTAGATCAGGTGTTACAAACTTTCTTGCGTCCACGACGAAACGTTATTTCAGTGTTCTATTCAGACCCTCAAAATACTAAAATTACTTTAACCATTTTCAATTGTTCATCCGCACTACGTTCATTTTCTGTTACCAACAACACATTTCTGTTAGGTTCAACTGACATTTTGCCTGCCGGAGTGAATGTAGTGAAAGTTACGCTTTACTGCTATTTCCATTAATTCACTTTCACTTGTCATTTCAGCCTATACTGTGCTTATATGTTGAATAAAGCCTACCCATAGACGAAGTCTTCTCATTCTACTCAACGGATCAATAATCGATTAACTAAGTCATCGACTCCCACTACACTGGAAGGTCGTGTTCCGAACCCGACCTCTGCCTCTCGACTTCCCCTGTCTAGGCCTGGGCGATCCGGCAGTATCCCAGCCCGCGTGCTTCCTCCGGGTGGCATGGCACCTAGGCACCCAAAAGGTGTTACAGCTGAACGATTATTATTCTACTGTTACAAATTGGTTTAGGGAACCGAAAGGCAATCCCGTGTGCGTCAATGTGTACGCCGTGCACGGTGAATAAGTCCATATCCACAATTTCGTCCCGGTTGATTCGCCCGCAGATGAACGTAATCAGTCACTAAATCCGCAAAGTAAGTACTGCCAAGTGATGGAATGACACAGCACCAACCGTCAACATTTCCCGGCAATTAATGAAGTAATAGAGGGCGGAGCTCCAATGTCAACCCAAATGCATGCCTTGACTTCAGTTGTCCTGTGGTAAGCAAAGGGAACACTTAACTAGGGGACTCGGTAAAGATAGTGGCGGACAACTGGGACTCACCGCTGGGAGAGTTTTGGCTGCAACTTCAGGTATTCTT